AGAGGTGTCATATTGCTATTTCTGGCATTCTTGTGTATTGTAATTTCCCTGTTTTACATGAAACACCTAGAAAATTGATGAGGGCAGGGTTTGTCCTAGCATTTAATGTACAGCATCAGCACACCTGGGTTAGATCCCCACCTCTGGCTCCTGAAGCCATGGTCCTGTCTGCACACCCTGCAAGGCAAGCGTGGTGGGTGAGGGAGCTGGCTTCCTGTCCCCCGTGGGCTGACTAAGCTTAACTTCTTGGCTCCTAGCTTCAGCACAGCCCCAGCCCCAGCTGCTCTGGACATTTAAAGGGTGAATCTGTGGGTGGGATAAAGTTGATTTTTAAGTTCATGAACAAGTGAAATTAAAAGATGTTTATTTTTGATATAAAAATTGAAGTCTGTACACTTTTTTATAGTAAGCATTTTCCTTTTTTGAAAGATGTCTTTTTTGTTGTTACTATTATTAAGCATTTTGCATAAAGACCCCTTGTTCTACATTTGTAAGCTCAAAGGGCCTTTCCAAAGTTCTAGCATCCAAGAATGACAGACTGTCAAACACGCAACTTTATTTTTTAAAGATTAATTCATTTTTATCAGAAAAGTAGATGAGATTTACAGAGAGAAGAAAGATTTCTTTTTTTTTTTTGAAGATTTATTTTTATTATGTTTTTATTGGAAAGGCAGATATACAGAGAGGAGAGACAGAGAGGAAGATCTTCCGTCCGATGATTCACTCCTCGAGTGAGCGCAACGGCTGATACTATGCCAATCCGAAGCCAGGAGCCTCTTCCGGGTCTCCCACACGGGTGCAGAGTCCCAAAGCTTCAGGCTGTCCTCGACTGCTTTCCCAGGCCACAGGCAGGGAGCTGGAAGGGAAGCGGGGCTGCCGGGATTAGAACCGGTGCCCATATGGGCTCCCAGGCGTGCTAGGCGAGGACCTTAACCACTTGCGCCACCGTGCCGGGCCCAGAAGAAAGATTTCTATCCACTGGTTCTTCCCACAAATGACCACGTCGGTTGAGCTGGCCCGAAGTCAGGAGCAAGGAGTTTCCCAGGTCTCCCATCTCAAGCGCAGGATCCCAAGGCCTTGAGCCATTCTCTACTGCTTTCCCAGGGTGTAAGCAGGGAACTGGATGGGATGTGGAGCAGCCAGGACACAAACTGGAACCCATATAGGATCCCAGCACTTGCAAACTAAGGATTTAGCCATTGAGCCAATTGTTTAACGTAATGTTTCCTAGCACTGTACTTTACGTATTTTTGGTTTAGATGAAGGACCGTAAGTGGAATCCTTTCTAAGGGTCAGAAGATGATTATTGAGATCCTTTGTAACTATAATTTAAAAGTCTTTAATGTAACTGCTGTGACTTCCTAATCTAAATCTTTTCTTGGTACTGGCATTGTGGTGCAGCACCACTGCCTGCAATGCTAGCATGTTGTGGGTTCCAGCTGATTCATTTCCAATGTAGCTTCCTGTTAATGTGCCTTGAAACACAGCAGAAGATGGCCCTTGTAAAAGACTTGGGTGCAATTCCTGGCTCCTGGGTTGGGACATTTGGGGAGTGAGCCAGCAGATGGGAGATCTCTCTGTCTCTGTGTCGCTTCGAAACAGATTTCAAGAAATACATCTTTTAAACAGTAAGTCTCTTGTTCACTCAAGAAGAGAACAATTTTTATACCTGTGAATCACTTTCACACAGTTCATAGAAAATGCAGATTATGGAAATATGCATGAATTTAATGATATTTCATATTTTTAAAAGGTCTATGTTTAAATTCCATTTTCCACAATTTTCCCCTACTCCTCCGTAAATTTTTGAAGTGCCCTCATTTTAGAAATGAAATTTTGAGCTTCTTGTTTGGTTTTCTTTAGAAAGAGAACCACAAAGAGCGCTTCCCAGTTACACCTGAGCTCCCGAGTTACACCAAGGATATAAATTCAAACCAGAGACTGGCATGGTTGTGGTGCTGGCATCCCATTTAGGTGTAGGTTCTTGCTCAGACTGCTCCACTTCCCATCCAGCTGCCTACTTACACCCTAGGAAAGCAGCGGAGCCTGGCTCAAAGTAGGCCTTGAGCCCAGGTAGTCCAGTAAGCAGCACTGGTATCCGGGGCTGGGCCAGGCCGACGCTTCCTTCAGGTCTTCCACGGAGTGTCAAGGGCTGAAACACTTGGGCCGTCTAATGCTGCTTTTCCCAGTTAGCAAGCTAGGTGTATGTCGGTGTAGCTGGGACAAAAACTGGCACCTGTGTGGGGTGCTAGCATCACAGGTAGTGGCTTTCCTAGCTACACCACAATGTCCATGCCCCAGAGGATGTTTTTCAATGAAGATAAGGGCAGGTGTTTGGCCCAGGGAGGAAGTTGTGCTTGGCCTGCCACCCCCTTTATCAGAGTGCCTGGGTTGGAATCTGGGTTCTGCTCTGTGCCAGCTTCCTGCTGGTGGCCGCACCCTCCGAAGCAGCAGGTTAGGATTCAGATATCGGGTCCCTGTCCCATCTGGGAGACTCCGTTGCTGACCTTTGGTGCAGCTGATGCAGCCATTTGGAACTATATTGAGTGAACCAGTGGCTGGAAATATGCTTTTAGAAAATTTATTTATTATTTATTTGAAAGACATATTTTATGCAGAGAGAAGAGATACAGAAATTCTTCCATTTGCTGGCTCACTCTCCAAATGGCTGCAATGGCCAGGGCTAAGCCAGTTGAAACCTGGAATCAGGAGCTTTGTCTAGATCTCCCACCTGAGCTAAAGGGCCCAAACACTTGGGCCATCCTCTCCTGCTTTCCCAGATCATTGGTAGGGAGCTGGATCAAAAGAGCAGCACCCAGGACACGAACCAGCGCCCGTATGGAATGCCAGCACCACAAGGTGCGAGATTAGCTTGCTGCATATCACCACACCGGCCCAACTCTGTTTACATCTGTCTGTCTCTAAATAAATAAATAGTAAGCCTCATGAAGAGGGTGATTCGTAAAATAATTTTTTAACAAAATCGGTCATAGCATTTGTAACTTAACAGGTTCTTACAATTCTGAGTGAACACCCTTATGAAAATGTTTTAGAATAATGTAATATTTAATCTTGAAAGAATAGGAAGCTGGGACCAGAAGACATACATAATTTGCAACTTTCATTAGTAGCTAAGGTAGAAACTTGGCTTCAGAATGCAAACTTTTATTATAATTAATTGCAGGAGTTGTCATAACCAGACCAGAATGTGAGTCTTAATTGAATCCCTTTTGAAGTTTAAGCCAAGATGTTAATAGCAGTAATCAAAAACTAACCTAGAATTTAGAGTACTGTGCAAATTGAGCTCCTTATGACCTTTTGGAAACGGAGCTTGCTTCAAGGCCATTGCCTTTGGCATTGTTTAGAGATGATCTCCTGGGAAGGAGGATTTGTGGGAGAATATCCTGGTTTGCTTTTGCAAAATTGTTTTTCTGACTTATTAGTCGTGTGGCTTTAACAATATCAGTGGTTGTTTACTAATGTGTGTTTTCCCATCTTATAAGTCTTTTTTTTGTCCCTACTTCGCTCATGTGTGACCTCAAGGGAATCGTTAATTATTCACCATTTTCTCCAGAAAATGTAGGATTTATAGTACTAATATCTAAGACTCTGCAGGCCGTGGAATTTGTTTAATGTGAAGAACTGTATCTCCTCACCTCTTTTTACTTATTAATTATTTTAGATGCAAACACACAAAATCCTCTTTTTGCTAAAATTGAAGATGAGTAATTTTTCCCATAAAAATCATGCTGCAATACCAGAAAACCTGTACTAGTGAGATTAGATGAAACTAAACATAAACTTATATCAGAAGCATTTAGCATAGATATCTGATTATTTAAATACATTTAAAAATTTATCACCTGTAGCTTTCCTTTTTTAGAGTATGTGTAATTGTTCATATATGTACATATGTACTGCCTTTAAAAAGAATTTGTATGATTACTTTTTCCTTAGCAAGACAATGTATATAACAAGGAACAGATTCCAGAAACATGTATTTTTAAAGATATATTTATCTTCCCTTTAAATGTTAGAGTGGTACTATTTTAAGTCTTGATTCTAGAGCTAATCCACCTAAATTAGCTGAGAAATCTTCTTTATGTCTATTCATCTCTTTCATCTTTCTCTTCTTGCAAAACACAAAATGGTTTTAAAATTTCTGTCAACTATTGAGCCCAGTGCAATAGCCTAGTGGCTAAATCCTCTCCTTGCCTTGGCTGGGATCCCATATAGGCACTGGTTTGTGGCCTAGCTGCTCCACTTACCATCCAGCTTGCTGCTTGTGGCCTGGGAAAGCAGTCGAGGATGGTCCAAAGCCTTGGGACCCTGGACCCGCATGGGAGACCCAGAGGAAGCTGCTGGCTTTGGATTAACTAACCTGCTACTGTTGAGTCCACTTGGGGAGTGAATCAGTAGATCTTTCTCTCTGGCTCTCCTCTCTGTTTATCTGTCTTTCCAATTAAAAAAAAAAAATAAGAAGTCTTTAAAAATATCTTAAAATCTGGGCCCAGCAGCGTGGCCTACTGGCTAGAGTCCTCACCTTGAATGCATCCGGAATCCCATATGGGCGCCGGTTCTAATCCCTGTGGCCCTGCTCCCCATCCAGCTCCCTGCTTGTGGCCTGGGAAAGCAGTTGAAGACGGCCCAAAGCTTTGAGACCCTGCACCCACATGGGAGACCCAGAAGAAGTTCCTGGCTCTGGATCGGCATAGCATCGGCCGTTGCGTTCACTTGGGGAGTGAATCATCGGGCGAAAGATCTTTCTTACTGTCTCTCCTCCTCTCTGTATATCTGACCTTCCAATAAATAAATAAATCTTTTAGAAAAATATGTTAAAAATCTGTCAACTGTAGTGTTTGTAGATTGTATGCAGTAATGGATATTCATAATTAGAAATATTCAAATAAATTTCCTTTAGTTGACTATGTGTTCCTTCATTTATGCTTCAGACATTTCTGCCTTGACTTACAGTTTCTTTTGTCGTCTTTTGTCTTGAGATCTGAGTGGTTCAATAGCATCTCCAGATGTCAAATTAAACCTTGGCGGAGATTTTATCAAAGAATCTACAGCCACTACATTTCTGAGACAGAGAGGGTACGGCTGGCTTTTGGAAGTTGAAGATGATGACCCTGAAGATAACAAGCCTCTCTTGTATGTAAAAATAATAGTTTTTAAATTTTTTTCAAACTAATCTTGTGGGGTAATTTCACATTCTTGACAGTACTTGAAAAGTTGTGATTATCCATCATCTGGGGAAAAACATAAAGCAGTTAAGAAAAAAAGAACCTATAGCTTTGTAAGATCAAGACATTTTCAAGTTAATCTTTGTTGTAATTATTGGTACATGCTTAAATATTCAGTATTTTTTAGTGTACCATATTCCATCAAACCCAAGGTACTGTGGGTAATAAAATGAAATTATTTTACATACTAGCACAATAAATGTTTAAGGTGGCAAAAAAAAATTCCAAGGACTATATTTTTAGTGTAAGGGTGGGTAAGAAGTCATTTACTACATCGTTACAAGTTTGCTTCTGTTTGATGCTGGGTGGGATATTTCTGCTTGGTGCTGAGTGGGATATTGGAAGAAAAAGTTTTCCCTGAGATTGTAAATGTCACGTTGATGCTCATATAGAATATAGGATAAATTGTCAGCATGGTCCCAAAAAATCTTCAGGCAAAAAATTGTAAGTTGTCTTGAATTGACGATTGTGTTCCCAGGAGAAGGACAGAAGGGAAAGTGGAGTGGGAAGCCCCGGGCTTTGCTGCCCGCTAACAGCATTGTAGGAGCCCAGTGCATGTGAGATAACGTCTCAGTTTTAGAGACGTTGAAAGGTGGGAAATACGCAGCTTACAGTCAGGGAGGTGGGCTTCCTCACATGCAGATGGACTGCTGACTTACAGAGACTGTGCTGTCATGTTTACATTTATGTTAACTTTGTAACTGTCCTGTCATTGAAAAGTACATGTGTTTAAAATTTTTATTTTAAAATTACAGGGAGGAATTGGATATTGATCTAAAGGATATTTACTACAAAATCCGATGTGTTTTGATGCCAATGCCATCACTTGGTTTTAACAGACAAGTGGTGAGAGACAATCCTGACTTCTGGGGTCCTCTGGCAGTTGTTCTTTTCTTTTCCATGATATCATTGTATGGACAATTTAGGGTAAGTATGTTTAATTCTGTACAAATTCTAAGCCTTTGAAGAGCTAAAAAATTAAATATAGTTGACTACTAAGTATAGTACAGTATGAAAAATGTTTTGCCTTGCTCATTCTGAAAGTGATCCATTCATTAGTAAGTGAAGAATTCCTTAGATTGATCCTTCCAAACTTTTGTGCATTCGTCATTCACGTGAAAATATTAAGACCAGCAAACTACTCATGGCTAATCACACTTGACCAATCACCAGAAGTGGCCTAACTGTTCAAAGGGAGTGAGGTTTTGAAATGCAATATATGGTACTTAATCATGTTCCTATCTCTTACTAAGTTTTAATTTTGTTTTTAAAAAAATGAACATTATAATAGTAACAAAGATCCTATCAGTATTTATTTTGATATTCCTAGTAATATTTTTGTTCATTTGCCCCACTGTTAAGGCATATCATCAAAGCACAACATAGACATGACCAAAAAAGGCACTGGGGAGGGAAGGGGACTGCTTCCCGCAGTGATTGGGAATTGAGTGCTTCCTCTTGCTGCTGTAACAAATGACCACAGACCTTAATGGCTTTACAGGACAGAGTGCAGCTGGTGGTGCTGTGGAGCACATTAAGCCTCCCATGGAACATGGCTGTTCCATTTTAAATCCAGCTCCTTGCTTATGTGCCTGGGAAGGCAATAGAGTGGGCTCAAGTACTTGGGAGACTCAGAAATCTGTAGCCATTGTAGCTATTTGGGGAATGAACCAGCAGATGGAAACTCTCTGCCTGCTCTCTCTGTGTATCTGCTTTCAAATAGCAAGTACATCTTTTTTTATTTTTTAAGGTTTATTTATTTTTATTGGGAAGGCAGATTTACAGAGAAAGAGAGAGACAGAGAGAAAGATCTTCCATCTGCTGGTTCACTTCCCAAGTAGCCACAATGACCGGAACTGAGCCAATCTGAAGGCAGGAGCCAGGAGCTTCTTCTGGGTCTCCCACATGGGTGCAGTGTCCAAGGCTTTGGGCTGTCCTCTACTGCTTTCCCAGGGCGTAAGCTGGGAACTGGATGAGAAGTATAAAGGCTGGGACACGAACCAACACCCATATGGAATCCCAACACATGAAGGCCGAGAATTTAGCCACTGAGCCATTGCTCCGGGCCAAAGTACATCTTTTATATATTTATTTTTTTAAACCGCAGATTTAGTTGACAGATCTTGAAACCTGAAGCCTAAAATGGGCATTACAGAACTAAAGTCAGAATGGCAGTTTGGCTGCTTCCTTTGGAGTCCCCAGGGAAGAATCCATCTCTCCACTCCGGCTTCCATAAGCTGCCAGCATTTCATGGCTTCTTACTGCATCACTGCAGTGTCTGTGTTTTTTAACGATGGGTTTTTCAGGCAATCCATAGTAACCTCATTGCAAGCATTTTAAGTCATTGTTATGTTAGTCCTGTTAATATTCACTCTAGGTCAGTAGTTTATTCAGACGTTCTACTGAAATCTTGTAAAAATTATTGAAAATTAATTAGTATTCTGTTCTCCTTTCTAGCACCTTCCTTCATTTACAACTTTTGTAGTTTCATCTGTCCTGTGTAGCTTCTCATTTGAACAACTAGTTCTAAGGAGGAGAACAGAAGGCTACCATATTTTTGTGGACCATCAGTCACTTTGGTTTTACTTGCTGTTTTCTTGTGTTGGATTGGGGCCGTCGGATTAGGCATGAATGTCACAGGAATGATTTTGTACTCTTTTGTGCCTGCTGATGGAGCACTAAACTGGTGTGCATTGTTACTGGTTGTGATAATGTGATTACATGGTTAGGTAATAGGGAGCAGTTGGTCTACCCCTCGTCTATAAAGTTGCTGTTTTCTTTTGTTGACAGAAACAAGAACTGGTGTTAATGGGTGAATTGACAGTTTCAGTGTAAAATTGTTACACTTTGTAATGCTGCATTTTGGAAAGATAGCTGAAAGCCCTACAGACTTCATGGTCTGAGCTTGAGAATGTCAGACTTTCTTACATGGCAGAGAATTGCATTCTTGGAAAATTATTAGGTTATTTGTTATAAAAAATTTTAATTGCATGATTTTTTCCCCATCAAGGTGGTCTCATGGATTATAACCATTTGGATATTTGGTTCACTAACAATTTTCTTACTGGCCAGAGTTCTTGGTGGAGAAGTAAGTAGTCCTTTTGAAAATACCCTTTGTTTTTTTAATAAGACTTTATTTGAATACTACTGATGTCATTCTCAAATGTGTTCATTTTTACAATTTCTTATCTCAGAATGCTTTTTTGTTTTTCAAAATGATTATTTTATTGAAAAAGCAGATTTTCAGAGAGAAGTGTCTGAAGTGTGTGAAGGTATTCTGTAGCATAACTTAGATTTTTTTTCCCACAAAAGACAGAGTCCTACAAAGAGAGAGCCAGGCTAACAGAGAAAGAACTCTTGGACCTGCTGATCCACCCACACAGGGCTGCACTGGCTGGGGCTGTTAGTCCAGTCAGTCCTCTGTTCTCACTGCATTCGTGATAAAACAGGCTAGCAATGCTCCCATGCTTAGTTGCCTTCAAAGTCCCACTTTCCTGGATAACTGTTGGGTTTTTTTTAAGATTTATTAATTTTCATTGAAAGATTTACAGAGAGAAAGTAAGATATTCCACCCACTGGTTTATTCTCCAAAGGGCCTTGATGGCTGGAGCTGAACCACTTGAAAGCCAGGAGCCAGGAGCTTCTTCAGGTCCCCATGTTTCAAGGACTTGGGCCATCCTTCACTGCTTTCCCAGGTCATAACTGGGGAGCTGGATTGAAGTGGAGCAACCGGGACAAAACCAAGACTCTTATAGGGTGCTGGTGCTTAAAGGTGGAGGATTAGCCTTTTGAAGCTAAGCACTGGCCTCCATTTTTTTTCTTTTTTTTTAAGATTTATTTTATTTTTATTACAAAGTCAGATATATAGAGGAGGAGAGAGAGAGAGGAAAATCTTCTGTCCGATGATTCACTCCCCAAGTGACCACAATGGCCGGTGCTGTGCCAATCTGAAGCCAGGAGCCAGGAACCTCCTCTAGGTCTCCCACACGGGTGCAGGATCTCAGAGCATTGGGTCGTCCTCTACTGCTTTCCCAGGCCACAAGCAAGGAACTGGTTGGGAAGTGGAGCTGCTAGGATTAGAACCGGTGCCCATATGGGATCCCGGTGCATTCAAGGTGGGGACTCTAGCCGGTAGGCCATGCTGCTGGGCCCTTCTTTTTTGTTTTTAATGTACCATAGCCATTCTATCTATCTTAACAATCCAGAGAAAGACATCTGGCCTTGTGGTTGAGATGCAGACATTTCATATCAGAGAGCTTGGGTTCCCTCGCTCAAGCTCCTGATTCCAGCTTCCTGTTAGCTCAAAACCTGGGCACAGGTGGGTGGGAGGTAGAGCACAATGGAAGTGGGCACAACAGGATTGAGTCCCTGACTCCCAGCTTCAGCACTGGCCCAGCCTTGGCCATTAGAGAGGGAAGCCTCTCAAATAAATAAATATCTTTAAAAAACAAGAGTAAACAAACAAACAAAAAACAGTATCAGGGCCGGGATGATGGTTCACCTGGTAAATGCTCTGCCTGCAGGTTCTGGGGTCCCATGTGGATGCCATTTCATGTCCCAGTTGCCCTGCTTCCCATCTGGCTCCCTGCTTATGACCTGGAAAAGCAGTGGATGACGGCCCAGACAGAACCTTGGGGCCTGCACCCATGTGGATTGGCTCAGCTCTGCCCATTTTGATAATTTGGGAAGTGAATCAGCAGATGGAAGATTTTTCTCTGTGTCTTTTCTTCTAAATTTGCCTTTCTAATAAAAACAGATAAATCTTTCTTTTTTTAAAAAAAAAATGTATTTGAAAAGCATAGTTGCAAAGCAAGGAGGGACATTGTCCATCCATTCGTTGACTTATTAAATGGCTGCAAAAGGATGGACTGGGCCAGGTGGAAGCCAGGAGTTTGGAACTTGATCCTTGTCTGCCTTTTGTCTGCGTTTGAAGGTATGTTAGCAGGAAGCTTGATCAGAAGCAGCAGAGCCAGGACCCAAACCAGCACCCAAATGGAATGCTGGCATTGCAGGAAGCAGCTTAACCATCAGTGTCACAACATTGAACCTGGCTGTAGTACATTTAATCCTCTAACCATTTAATTGAAGCAGTGACAAAGTGTAATATATGGATGTACTGAAGGTCATTTTATACATATGTAAAGGTTGAAGTTAAGACAGACAGAAGGTTTGGAAACGTAGATCCCAGCATCGGTAAGCTGATGGTAACTGAAACCATGACAGGAGGCTATGATAATTGGAACTGTAATGGATATGATTTTTAAAAACTTCTCACATTTCTGAAAGTGCAACGAAGAACATATGATCAGTAGTGATTGAAATGAATATCTTGGTTTCTATGAAATCCACAGGTTGCATATGGCCAAGTTCTTGGAGTTATAGGATATTCGTTACTTCCTCTCATTGTAATAGCCCCTATACTTTTGGTGGTTGGATCATTTGAAGTGGTGTCTACACTTATAAAAGTAAGTGTGTTTTACGTATTATTGTTGCTTACTGTTTTCCAACAGCGAAAGTATGCTAGTCTTCTGGCTGAGAGCATTATAATCAAAAACTTTATCCAGCAGTTGGTAGTATTTTAGAACCTTTTTTAATGATCTTTTCAGTTGCTTTTGGTTTCCGTCATTGTCATTAATCTCTGGTAAGGGAAAGCAAAGAGCCCATCAGTGTTTAGGATATTACAGTGGGGATTGTTTTTAGTGTTGAATTTTTATTTGTGTATAATGAATTTGTCTTAGATTTTAAAAGGGATACTTTGCTCCATAAGGTATTTATTTAATATTTGTTAATTCCCGTTTGAATATTAACTTGCTTATCTAATATTAAAGTCACGATTCTAGTACACTCAGCTTTCTAGAGCAAGCATTTTTTCTGCATCATGGTAACGTACACATTGTAAACATTTACAGAGTGTTAATATTGATACAACTGAAGCTTCAGTATTTCCTAATACTGAATAACTTGGAGAGATACATGGCTGGTTTAATACATGCGTTGATATTAGACAGTGAATAACTTTTTGCCCTATGGAAAATGGAACATTTTAAGACTACCACTTGCAGAACTCTTGTTATGTCTTTGTAACACATGAATGTATCATTATAAAATGAAAAACTTGTGGTTAAAACTTTATAACAAAAAAAACTTTATAACAAAATTATTTAATTGTTTTTACACTTCAGGTTTGTTTTTGCTGAAATGTTTTAATAGTCACTTAGTTTCCTGTGGGTTAAAGCTACTGTGTGTTACTTGTTTCAGTGCAGTTTATCTTATCACCTAATTCTAGCATTGTAGTTTACAAACATCAATTTTATTTGACATTAAATCTCTGTAACACTTCTATCTTTTAGCTATTTATAATGGAAAAACTCTCATTATGACATCCAGATAAAATGTTTTGTTTTTTTTCATATATTTTTCTGAATGTTTAAAATACTCAGTTTCATAGGCTTTTTTTCTTTTTTACTTTTTAAATGTAGTAGTTGGACCATTTCAACTATGTTTCCAGTTTGCTAGTGTTTATTATATCCATACCTGTGGATCTTCTTAACTGAGGGTGATTTTGCCCTTAGGGGATGTTTGGTAGTGTCTGCAGGCATGTCACACATGTGTGTGTGTGTGTGTGTGTGTGTGTGTTGGGCGTGTGGAGTGTGGCGTATGTAGTGGATAGAGAGTCAGATGCTCGGCTGACAGTGCCCAGAACCGAACCCTGCAGCAAAGCAGTATCAGCCAGCTTAGAGAACTCTGATGTGTTTCAGCTTGTGTTTCTGTAATACTTTCCTTGATTTTGCCATTTTCTTTTTTTTTTTTAAGATTTATTTTTATTTTTACTAGAAAGTCAGATTTTACATAGAGAGGAGAAACAGAAAGATCTTTAGTCCACTGGTTCATTCCCCAAGAGGCTGCAATGGCCAGAGCTGAGCCTGTCTGAAGCCAGAAGCCAGGAGTTTCTTCCTGGTCTCCTGCATGGGTGCATGGTCCCAAGGCTTTGGGCCGCCCTCTACTGCTTTCCCAGGCCACAAATAGGGAACTGAATGGGAAGTGGAGTATCCTGGATACGAACCAGCGCCCATATGGTATACCAGCGCATGCGAGACGAGAACTTTAACCACTAGACTGCTGTGCTGGAACCTGAATTTTTTCTTATAACCTTGCTTTTTCTTTTCATTCTATCAAATGCCTTTGATGACTATATGAATAGATACCTCGTATATCTCTAGTTGAAGTTTTTAAAATAGATATGTGTATAGTCAGACAACTGTAGTGTATTTTATTTAATTAAATTCTTGCCAAAAGTGATCTTTTTTCTATATTTCATGTAATCCTGTGCTTCTGTTTCTGGGCAGCGCTGTGGTGATAAACATTGTGTAAAGTTTTCATTGGTTTTGTTTTTTCTGTTTTTTCAAAAGAAAAGGAAAATTTTTTACTTTGCAAGGTTTTCTGTCAACAGTTTGGCCCATTAATAGTTTTTCCAGAAACACATACTTTTTAAAAAGTTTTACAAATCTGTTTATGCAGAATTTAAGCAGATCTTCAAAGTCTGCTCTTGATCAGCCACCCGGGTGATCTTCCTTCCGTTTAGACAGATTTGATCAGGGAACACTACATTGCCAGATGTGAGGAGCAGGGCAAGGCTGAGCACTCCTGCTGAGGACATTGCATTCTGAGTATGTTTTTCCACTTCCCACAATTGATAGTTGATTTAAAAAATAGTGTAAGCAGGTTTTTTTACTCTGCAGTATCGTAAAAATTTATCAATTTACTAATACTCTGCCTTTTGTCTTTTTTTTCTAAGCTGTTTGGTGTGTTTTGGGCCGCCTACAGTGCTGCTTCGTTGTTAGTGGGTGAAGAATTCAAGACCAAAAAGCCTCTCTTGATTTATCCAATCTTCTTATTATACATTTATTTTTTGTCCTTATATACTGGGGTGTGAGCCGAGGCATACGTGAGTAAAGAAGATAAGTGTGTGTGTAGTCTGGGAATTATTGCCAAAGGGATTCAAGCAAACCTGTGCTGGTCAAGCTTGATGTGTTTCAGACATGGCGCAGGTTTAGGATCTTTCTAAAACAATGTTTTTTGTATTTAGCTAATTGCAGTAACCTGGGACTTTTTGGTCAGAATGCTAAATTCTGTTTGATTCTTCATATTCCAGTGAATAAAATATAAAAACATTGTGTTTTTACGATTGTGTCAATATTCACGTAAAAACTTGTGGCAGAAGCACCGGGATTCGTAATTATATTTCTCTTGAAGGGTAAATTTGATAACATCTTGATAACCTGAAAGTGCAATTTTTTTCCTTTGAAGAATTTTCTCCTGTATTACAGATCCTATAGATATGTATTTATATTTATACGTATATATTTATGAAATAATTATTCACAAAATATATTTCTGGATAGCCTAAAAATTAAAGCATTTAATCTGATGCTTAACACTTCATTAAATTTGGCTCATACTCTTTTTTTATTTAAAAATTCACACCTGTTTTTTAAATGGTATATAAATTTGTGAAAAATAGTTACTGATATAGATTTGGTTTATTTGGGTAAATTTTTAAAAACTATTTTTGAATTTCCAGACATCTGATGAAAAGTTTCTGGTACTCTTTCTGATTTAAGGGTAAGAGGTGTAATGAGTACAACTTTCATTAAAATCATTACTATTTAGGAACACAGAATATTTATAGTATCAGTAAGCATTTTTGATCAGAAAAGTCATGGGAAAAAGACCTTTAAAATGTTGTGGTCCTGAACTATGTTACAAGAAGTAGAAGACAATAAAATGCTTGCCAGCTGTGCATTTATTTTATAACATCTTGTCCTGTGTTGCTTGATGTTTACACGAATATCAGGTACTCTATAACAAATGTACAATTTTTGCTGAAGGGAATATTAAGACGTTTTTCTTAGTGACTTTTTATTATGAATATTTTAACAAGTACTAGATATACCTTTAATTAACTGTTTTGTAAAGTAGATAATATATTTTATTTATGCCCATAGATAGAAAATACCTGTAATAAATGATTCTGTTATCCTTTCTCGTTTACCTGGAAGAGTTAACTGCTGCCCTCAGTTTGATGATGTTGGCATTGCTTGTTATGTGTTCTTTCAGCAAACTTACCCATCAAGAAATACCTAGCACCTCTACAAGGAGCCTACAGATTAGCAAGGGATCAAACCCATCTATTTTCTGCTACCCAAATCCTACCTTCCCCTGCAAAATGTAGGAAATATACTCTTCAGTTAGAATAACTTTTTTTAATTCCTTAGGAAAGCCAATTAAGGCACCAGGGATGCAGCATATAGAATTACCTGAGATGTTAAGAGAGGACATGTGTCATGCTTAAGAAGCCCCTGATACCAGAGCTTTGGTAGGACAGAATTTGTATTCAGTGTTAAAGGTACTGACCCCCACAATCATCACAAAGCTTGGGGATTGAGACCAGGGGATATATATATTTTTAATTTACTTTTTAAATTATTGGTTACATTGTATTATGAGATACAGTTCCATAGGTACTGGGATTCTCCCCACCCCGCGCCCCCCGGTGCACTCCTCTGCCCTGTTGTGAGACCTCAGTTCAAGATCAGTTGAGACACCTTCATGCAAGCATATACCAAGCATAGAGTCCAGCATGTTATTATCCAGTTAAGTTCATCTGCTTCTTGGGGAGACCTTGAGACCAGGGGATATTTTACTGAACAATAAATCAAGGTGTTTTTGGACCACCTTTGTCAAAAAATGGCTTAATTTTTAAAAATCTATTATATTTAAGGTATGAATTAAAAATTCACTTATATATATCATGTTCTTAATGATACAGGATAAAAGGAAGTGTTTAAGAACATTTAAAAAGAACAGCATTTTAAGAATGTTGAAATGTTCTAAAAAGAACATTTAAAAACAATCACATTTCATATTGGGAACTGCTTTTTTAGGTTTTATATAAATATAATTTATAGTGTTTCATAGTCAACCAATATATTCATGTAATAATCAATAAAAATGTTGTGAGATTGTCAGTTTGAGAACATGGTTTTACGTTTTATATGAGGTACAGTTCTGCTACAACTAATAAGTCTAAGTCATGACTTAAATAATAATTTCCAAACTTTTTAGCAGTTTATTAGTGTGTATAAAACAGGACAGATATCTGTGTGTCCTGTCTTATGGTTGAGTGTGTGCACTTAGGTGTTGTCACTTATACTGTTTCTGATGAGTGGTGATCTTCCAAGAAGGAATGAGGTGTTTGCTTCTGTTTAAACTTTGATTATAAAGCTATTGAAATTTTGACTTAAAATTAAAATCTACATGTAATCAAACATTGTGTTATCAAGGCAGTTTAAGAAGATTTGTAAAATCTTATGAATCATTATGAAACCTGTTGTAAAGTTTTTTTTTTACTTTCTTCATCAGTAAGGCAAAGTGTCAGGGCAACAGAGTCCTCTGGTTTGCTCCCCAGTCCCAGATGGTTGTAGCAACAAGAACATCATTTGGATCTCCCACGTGAGAGGGGACCAGACCTTGTACCACCACCTGCTGCCTCACCAGGCACATTAGTGGCAAGCTGAGTCGGATGCAGGGCAGCTGGGTATCCAGTATTCGATGCTATGGTTGCAAAAACCAGCTCGACCCACTGTGCATAATTCTGGCACCTGAAAACCTGCTTATTTCTGAAGTCAAGACATTTCTCTATATAATAATGGTTCCTTTTCCCAAGGTTTCCAAAATATTAATACAGAATTCTGAATTACTGAAGATTAGCATTGACTAAATATGATGTAGTTGTCTGTTTAAATCTTACTTAAAATCGGGCCCAGCGCGATAGCATAGCAGCTAAAAGTCCTTGCCTTGAACGTGCCAGAATCATATATGGGCACCAGTTCTAATCCCAGAGGCCCCGCTTCCCATCCAGCTCCCTGCCTGTGGCCTGGGAAAGCAGTCAAGGACGGCCCAAAGCCTTGGGACCCTGCACCCGCGTGGGAGACCCAGAAGAAGCTTCTGGCTTTGTATCGGCTCAGCTCCAGCCATTTGGGCCACTTGGGGAGTGAACATCGGACAGATGAACTTCCTCTCTGTCTCTTCTCCTCTCTGTATATCTGACTTTCCAATAAAAATAAGTAAATCAAAAAAATCTTATTTAAAATCTAATTTATTTACAAATTTTTAATGTAGCAACAGATTAAATAATGCTGTAGCAGTGAGAAAAACAAAAACATCATTTTTGTATTCCAAAATTGAGTATTTTTAGTTTTTAGGTGATTGATTTATTTGAAAGACAGAATGACAGAGAAAGAGGCCAGAGTTCGTGCATCTGCTGTTTCACTCTGCAGATGGCCACAACAGCCCGATCCAAGCCACAGTCAGAAACTCCATCCTGCTCTCCTGCGTGGGTGACAGGGCCCCAAGGACTGGGCCACCCGCCACTGCCTTCCCAGGTACGTTAGCAGGAAGCTGGCTTACGGCGCGGAGCATTTGCCGCCTGAGCCAGCACTGCCACTCAGGATTCTGGCGGCATTAGGAGTCACAGTTTGCCCATTGCCCAGTAGGTGACATGTTAAAGATTGCTGTTTGTGTTAATGTCTTCCACGCAGGCAGTCGTAACAGTCCTGGAAGTCATCCTCAGCAGTTCTCGGTACAACACTTCACTTATGGATCAGCCTGGCACTGTTGTATTGGTCTGCATACGTGTTAAAAACTATATTTTTGCATTTTATACTACTTTTTAATTTCCCTTTAAGGTTGAATTATAATTGCTCATTTGTATAATTTCTTGTCAGCATTTTCTGTGTCTGAAAATCCATTGGTAAATAATTTTTGAACATCTCCATTTTTTATTCTGGATTAACAAAGTCAGTAATTCTATATCTACACTTTAACCCGTGATACTTTCTGAAGAAAGTTCTGCTTATGAATGTATTTTCTTCATAACGTTTTAGACGCTGATGTGCCTTTATGGCATATGCAATGTTATGAAAAGAAATGGTTAAGAGAATGTTCCCCTGTGCAAATCATCTTAATATTTTGAATATTTTGGGTTTTTGAACATGTTTGATATGCTGAACTCCAAACTTTGAAGGTAATATGGAGAAAGACTATAAACAAGGGTTAACAAGGCAATAGTGAAATAATTCCTGACTTTACTTTTTAAGTTGATGGTAAACTTGGCTTTAACTTTCTTTTTTATAACAGGCTGACTGCATATTTGTAATTTGAAGTATAGCTTTGCAAATGTATGGGAACATTCCGTAATGTTACCTTCCAAAGAATTTAGTGATATGGGTATGCAGTCACCTAAATTAAGAAATCAAATACAAAATATTTTGTAAAATTTTTAACTTGGAATTATTATATTTAATTTATTATGTAAAAATTATTATATATAAAGGTTAAGAAAATGCAAAGCCTACATTCCCACTTATAAAATTTTTTAACACTTAAGAGTATGAGTAAATGAGATTTCTTGAGAATAAATACATTGGCTTTTGTATGACAGTTGATATTGAACAATTTATCTTAAAAAGTAAACAAAAAATAGTTTACCAAAGTATTTTTATAAGATCACATGAAATTGTGCAAAATAATTTATGGGAACAAATTTATCATCTGGTGATGATCATATAAAAGTAGATTTTTGCCTTTCCCATAAATAATACTTATTGAAGTCAAAGTGATTAAAATTCAGCATTTTTGGTCTTTTACAACAATCCTCCTCACTTTTGTGGAATTAATCATTTGTGTGTATGAAGTATTTTTTCGATAGTAAGAATGGTTTGATGACAAGACAACTCATATGGTTACGCAGAATTACCTGCTATGGTCATCATGATCTACAAGGAAAAAAGCAAAATACTCTTATTTATGATAATAGACTGAGGTGCTAAGGTCCTCTTATTCATCCTTCCCTGTACAGTGAGACTTAGAAAAATCTCTGATCTGAACGAATTTATTTTTTCCCCTGAACATTGTATTTATTCACAAAGCGGAGTGAGAGAGGAGAAACAGAAGAAAAGATCTTGCATCTTCTGATTCGCCCCCTAGTGGTCACGATGGTGAAGCTGCACCAGACTGAATTCGGGCGATTCTGAGTCTTCCAGGTTGGTGCAATGGCCCAACACATAGACCATCCTGTGCTGCTCTTCCAGGTGTATTAGCTAGCAGCTGAATTGGAAGTGGAGCAGCTGGGACTCAAACTAGTAACCAAATGGGATTTCACGCATATGCCACTGCAGGTGGCAGTTTAAGCTGAGCACCTGGCCCTACAAAAGGTGGTGGCTTAAAGAATGAAATGTTGAGAAGAAAAGGTGTTTGAATGTGTTGCTCTGGATGTGAGAGGTCAATAAATATTAGTCAAGTATTTATTGGCCCATTTTATGTTGGGCTCGTTGCAGAGTTACAGTGATATGCAAAAAAAGACCAAGCAGGCACCTGACTTTATAACTTACATTGCAAAGGAGGCAGCAAATGAATTTCCTAAGTTATGCAACTATTGCAGCAGTGATGAGGAGCAGGACTATCATGGAATAGAGAAGAAAAACCTCCCCCCCCCGGCGCAGTGATGCTCCATCTGAAATCTTAGGCATAATTAAAAGGTAACTGGGCAAGCTGGGTAGGCAATACAGGTCTACATAACAGGGAATGGCAGGGCCAAGTGCAGTAGCCTAGCAGCTAAAGTCCTCAACTTGCATGCGCCAGGATCCCATATGGGCACAGGTTCTAATCCTGGCTGCCCCACTTCCCATTCAGCTCCCTGCTTGTGGCCTGGGAAAGCAGTCGAGAATGGCCCAAAGCCTTAGGATCCTGTA